GAAGGTGAAAACAAGTACAAGTGTTCGACATGCGACCGTCATGTTGATGCAGTGAAGCGAGCGTGCTTGAAAGACGTGCCGGATCACCTCATATTCCACCTCAAGCGTTTTGATTTCAACTTGCGAACCTTGCAAAGGAGGAAAATTAACGACTACTTCACGTTCCCCCAGACTTTGGACCTTGCCCCATACACAGTCGAGTATCTTAACGCCGAGGAGGGTGCAACTCGGAGCGACATTTTCGAATTAGTTGGAATCCTTGTCCATTCGGGAACAGCTGAATCCGGACACTACTATTCCTACATCCGAGAGAGAGGAGCTTTTGGTCGATCAAGTTGGGTTGAATTTAATGACGACTCTGTACTTCCATGGGATCCATCCCTGATGGAAAGCGCAACATTTGGTGGCCCAGACCCTCAGTCGTCCCTCCACGACATGAATGGTATCATTTATGACAAGACTTACAGCGCCTATATGCTTTTCTACCAGCGTGCATCATCTCTATACCATGATTCACTATCCGGCAATGCGACGATTAACGGCCGTCCACCATCTGTTGAGGTCCCGGCTCCATTGAAGGAGCATATTCTGAATGAGAATAAGGTGCTGCTTCGCCGACAATGCCTCTTTGATCCGGGCCACAGTGTCTTTGTGCAGCAATGTTTCGGCCACTCCATTTATCTCGGAGAAAGTCAGGCGGCCAAGTCTCGCGCGTCAAAGAATGATGTTGAAAATGACGAGTTGGGAAGGCATGCCGGTCCTGATCTAGATACTTCGACCCACACCTTGCAGAACTTGGCCATGGAAGTGTCTCTGTCTCATTTTGATCAAGTGGTTTCCAGAACCAAGGACTCCATCCTGATGGAATCTTTTGCTTCAATGCTGAAATCTGCCGTTACAAAGTGCTACGATTGCGCACTTGCATTTTACAACTACTTCCATGTGCGCCATGGGGCTTTTCGCTCGTTGGTCCAGCGAAACCCAGATCCAGATATCAGAAGCTTTACTGGTAAGACGCTTGTACTTGCGGCCTCCAAGATTCGAAGCGGTCTTCCGCGACTTTACCATTGCCCAGTCCCAACAAGAAGCAACTCCAGCCCAGCTAGTATGGATAGCGAGGATGACTGGGACGATTCAGAGCCGCCACCGTCAGTATTGCAAGGAATCATGAGCATCTTTAACCACCTTTGGAGATTCTTTTATGTACATATAAGGTCCTGGGACGAATATTTCGGCACAGTGCTCGCCTTTGCCAGACTTGGAGAACTTGAGGTTGGCCATCTCTTGGCAGACAATTACTTGCTCAAACTACTCCATATTATTAACGCGGATCCGTCAATGGAGTTGCAGCCCAATTATCAGCGCATGGTTAATAACCTAATGCGGCGCTTCAACTCTAAGCCGGCATCCTACACTGCGATTCTGGCACTCATTGACTACCTCATGGCACAGCTGGAACCTAAGTTGAGTGCAGATGTGATTGTGGACGAGGCAGAGGATCGACGCAATGCACGAAAGCCCTTCCCATGGACATCGGAGGAAGTCCAGGCTGTTCACAACCACCCTGATAGCCCTGCGACTAGTTTTTTCACGGAAAAACTCTTGGAGACGGATCAGGCACCAGAGCCGACAAACAGTATTATTGGACGATTGGTCGAGAGCGGAGAAGAATTGGATCTCAGGGTATTCAACACTCTCCGGAAGAAAATCCAAGGGGAGACGACAACGCAGCCAATGGACTCGTCTATCAGGGCAGCTGGGCGGTATGCTGAATGCAGTGAATCGCTGGAGAGAGTGCATATCCTCATTAGGCATATTTGCACACAAGCACGCAGTCTCCAACACAATGAGGGATCTACATTCTTGGGGTTTGTGGACTTGATGCTGCGCTCTTGCCGACCCAACGAGAGTCTGGCTCTTGCACGTAGAAGCTACATTATTCAGGCGATCCCTATGTGGGCACCGTATCTGCTAGTGTACGGCGACGAGCACACAAGGGGCGTAACAGAGCGGCTCATCAACGATAGGCTCTTTTCGCCCGTAGGACTCAACGTACTTGATGGGCAGGACGACAATGCTGCTCTAGAGCCAGAGACTTTAGAGCACGTTATCCGACAGCTCGGAATCAAGTGCCTAATGTACCTCCGAGACGTCCATGTAAGGGGAAGAATACAGCTTGAGCGCAATGCAGCAGGCAACATTCTACGTGTCATTGGTTACTGCGTTCCATTCTACGAGGGAAGCGACGAAATGAATGACTATGCAGACGACAGCGCCGAGTTTCGGGCCATTCAAGGGGGTATGTGAAGCAACAAAATACTAGATCAAGAGATGATGTGCTGACTGTGATTTAGAAATAACAAGCCCCCTGCAAAGATTGCTTGTGGACGAAATTGAGGATGATGGGTCTGGTATGTTAGGTTTGGTTGTACGGCAGTTTGGAGACACGACTAACGAGGAACAGAGTGGGATGGCTCATGTGGCTCATCGGAATTCATGGATGCCAACATAGGCGCGTTGGCACAGACAGGACATTATCTACATGACTAAGACCATGCGCAGGTCCGTGGCCGACGACAGCACAGTGCACGGCGCTTGAGGGATACTAATCTCGATACAAAAATTTGCTTTGCTCTCCCGACTGCCTTTCTTTCTTTATTCTTACTTTTGCTTTTTTTTCCGGGGCGTCTCTTCATCTTTCCACTGCCAGCATTCACGATACAAAAGGACAAATGATATTATGAAAGACTTAGATCAACGCAACTGGAGCAGGCTGTCAGCACGAGCAGCCTGTGTTTGATGCACATAGCAGCGGTGTCTCGGCGTATGGAAGGAAGCAGCTTTTTATTTCGGTTGACGACGATTTGCGGGGCTGTTTACGAGCGACGGCCCCGTGGTTTGGACTTGCAGCGATGATGTGCGTGATATGGTCGACAGGTCAGAATTTGGAGTAGGCGGACAGCAGTGGTAGAGATAGCAATGAATGACAAGGCGCGTAGGAGTCGAGGTGTTTCTTTCTCCCTTTGAGTTGTGTTTAACTTGGCATGAATAACTGATGAGGTAAATGCATGGGAGCTGAAGGCCGAAATCAGGCTTCATTAAATAAAGGGGGGTGATAAAGTCCAAAAAGAAAATATGCACAGACGGTGAGAATAGCATCAGGCGGTGTTGGCAAAACGGGACAGGCTAACAGGCTGTAACAGTCGACTGGTCATACGACGGTGCTCTTGAGGATGGAGGATAAAGGCCGCATGGTAGGGCCGCAGGCGAGCTGAATTTATTCTGGTGATGAATGATGCGGTTTCGGGGACCTCTTTATTGCTTGCTACCTCTGCACTATTTATGGAGCACTGTCGGCAGCGTTGGCCAACGTGTCGGGGAACGAACGAGGGAAGTGAGCGAGCGGCTACAACGATGTTGGGTGGGTTCGACATCAAGTCGAGGCTGTTGAGGTGCTACTATTATTATCGTGCGTCGCCCCTGTTCCCCGGGCAGTCGGACCGTTGACGGGAGGAGCTGGACAGGGCAGAGAAGTGCCGGGCGCTAGGCGAGATCTCATCTGTTGTAGTACTCCGTACTTGGGTAGTACTGGTGATATGTGCCAGGATGACGATGCATGGTCTTGTTGACACGTGGGCGCATGACTTGAGTGGTTTGTTTATATGGTTGTTCGAGCTGCCCGTGAAGCACCGGGGACACGGGCACGACTCGAAAGAAGCGTCCGACTGCCAACAAGTGAGTATTTACTCAGAGTCCAGAATCCGCCATTGATCCTGTCATGTTGTACGTGGTGGAATACCGTCATGCCATGATCAGCGGCGTTTCGTCCCGTCCTCCAAACCAAGCCTCGAGTCTCGACTGCCACGTTTCCATTTTTTCCTTCCTTCTTTCCTTCTATTTTTACCGGGCTTGCCGCTCCCTTACAAAATGCACTCATTCCCGACGAATGCAGGGCCAGGGGTGCCAAGACGCGTGAGCAATCCAGAAAATCTGCAGAGCTACAAGGTTGCTTGATAGACGACGGGCTTTACGCGATCCTCAGCGCGTGGGGGGCGGGGTGGTGGGAAATCTGGCAGGGGCAGTAAAGCCAATCACAGGCGGGGAAGTAGCTCCCCGCGCTGCTGAAAATACCAAAATAGCACGTAGCCGCCGACGACGACGTCCGCGGGCGAGAATGATTGGCTCCACGGATCGGGCCTGCATTCCGTCCTGCGTTGCATCCATTTGCTACTGCATTGACGGGTTGCATATTGCATATGTGCATGCATCATGAGGGCTCTCGTCACAGGCACCACAGGCACCACCCGGCATGGTGGGTGAATTGGCAATACAATGTACGATGGCAGCGTCGTGACGGGGAAGACGCCATGTCTATTTTCGATGCAAGATCAGCCAGACGCTCGCCCGTCGGCGGCAATTGATGGTTGCATAGACGCCACCCATGTTCTTGGTGACCACATGGCATGCCTGGACCCTGGTCCTACGAAGCTGAAGATTGTCAGGGAGTGTTCCCGATGACCTGTTTCATGTTTCAAAGGGTTTCGAGTTTCAGAACCGCTGGAATTGGCGTGGTACGCCTCGTGGTTGGCGATTGGGTGCGGCTGTCGTCACCGAGGTAATTTGGACGCACGCAACCACGCTATTCCCCATGATTCATGATGCCCATGGTTATATATTCCGCATACCCACTTGTTTGCAATCCAGTTCGGCGCAGCTGGGGGAGCTCATGATAATTTGTGTTCACTCTTTTGGGCCGTTCGCATCGTTTTGCCATCTGGTAGTGTCTGGTTGTCTTGGTGAGACGCGGAATGCTGAATGTTGCTGTGGATGCTCGATGCTCCTCGTGAGCGAGTGTTGACCATCCAAAGTTCCTTTTTACTACCAGTCTTTAAACTCGTCACCGCTTCATTATCTTTGACGACTTTCCCTGTACTATTCGCCATCTTCTTTCTCCCCCCTTCTTCTTCCTTTAAGGAGCAATCATTGACATCGTCAACACCATGGCGTTAAAGGAGCAAATTTCTTCGCCCCTCGAGGCTGGGCCATCCGTCCTTGATGCTCGCCGTCTTCCTCATCACTTGACTCCCGCTCTCGAATATGCCTCCTCTCGACTTGCCAAAAAGTCCCTCCATCTTACCCTTGTCGTCGTCCGAAGTGACTACCAACTACCAAGAGTGATTCCTCCGCTGGCATCACCCGGCCTGTCTACTCCAAGCACACCAGCCTCTCCGCCTGCAAGCAAGTTCAGCTTTTCTACCAGTCCTGTCACCGCCTTGAAGCAGCTTGTTCGGACGGCGTCACGACAGAACTCGGAACCAGCACAGTCCGTCGGCCCCAAGAGTGCTGTGTCGTCACCGGCCACAACAACCCTGGACTCTCCTGGTCCGAGATCTCGATGGCCTCTCTCGCCTTCAACGCCTTTGTCTCCGCCTCCCATGACTCCGTGTACACCGTCGTCTGTTGCCACGGATTACACTGGCCCTATGACACCGGGGGGTTGTGGGATGCGCTTTATCCATGCATCGGATTTAAGTGCCAAGGATCAAAGAATCCAGCGGGCTGTGTTTACTAAGACAGCACGAAAGTTTAGCTTGGGGTAAGCTCCTGTAACAACATAAAAAGGGCCAAGTGCTATCGAAACCCACGCTGATGTGTCAAAAAAAAAGGTCATCCCTCTCGCCGGCCGTCGATCCCTCAACTTGTGGCCTAACCGCCCAGCTCATCACCGACTCTCTCATCCAAAACGAAATCCTCTTCTCTTCCGACGGCCTCACCCTCCTCTCACTCGAGCGACTGTACAGCCTCAAGAGCGCTCTGTCGAGTTATTCCAAAACCAAGGCCCACTTTCGTCTCGAAGACGCAGTCGACGAACTCCGTCGGTATGTCCTTGCCAACAACGGCGAGAAAGCAACCAAATCAGATCTATTACGCTCGTACGACTGGCTGAGTGTGAGCCCGACCGCCTTGTCGGACCTGGATAAAATGTACAGAACGGCCTACGGGGGACCAGGCGAGGTAGGCGCCATATCTGGACTTGGACCCCCGCCACCCACGATCCTCCCACCTTCTACATCCGAGCCAGTGATCCGCTCTGACGAAGACGGAGACGAAGACGACGGGTTCCTCACTGAGTATGACGACGACCCCGATCTGAGTCCTACGCAGATAGGACTCGCAGTGACCACATTTGAAATGAGAAAGCCCCCTACGCCCAAGGGCCCGATTTTGAAGATTCAGACCAATTTCAGGGCGAAGGCTGTGCTAAGGAGCAAACAGGATTGCAAGGAGGAGGATGCAAAGAAGGAAAAAATTGAAGATTCTGACAAGAAAAACAAGGCGCAAGATGAGAAAGATGGCGGCGATATGACAGCACGACCTCTTGAGACGGCGCCGCGAGGACGCACACGGTGGGCGGCGTCGATAGACAATGTCCTGAGCGCGGGTGTGACGAGTCCCGTTGGAGATTCTGCGTGTCCTGTACCAATGACTCCGAATGGATATGATGATATATCGCCCATAACAAGGGGAGAATGGGGATTCCTGATGGTCAACAATACGTTTCGCGGGGGCCGAACCGTCGCAGTAGAAACGTGTTGACGATGAGGGCGACACTTTACGAAATTATGCCTTCTTGTATGCTAGAGCATTCTTGTTTCCGTTTTTGAGTATGGCAGGCTAAGCATTGGGGAAGCGAGGATACAATGTAAACCCGAGCCGGGTAAATTGCACACCCAAAAGAATATGTTGCATGTAGGATTCGACGGTATCATTATATATCGACTCTACCAGCCGTACTTGCTGCTCGTCGCCTTCTTGTTGCTTTTGGCTGTTGCAAAGCTATCCTCCAATGCCTCCCGTTGATTCTGCACATTCTGCACCAATTGCTTGAGGGAATGTTTGCCACCGCCCTGTATGGAGCGAACGGTCCTGTGAGCCTGCTGGTCGCCTGCTGCGCGGACACTCTCGTTGTACTGGTACTCCTTGTCCATGTTGAAGTTGACCACTTTCTTGACTGCAAAGCCACTCCCGTCACGACCAAAGAGCTCTCTCCTCGCTGCTGCGGAGAGATTTAGATCATCAGCAACGGTGTCTAGGGACTCGGGGTTGCTGGATGAGTTGGTGGTAGCGGTTTGATACTGCGCCGAGTCTGAGTACATGGTGGTAGCCTGTGCGTCTGGTTGATATGCGGGTTCAAAGAGAGGTTCGTAGGTGCCGGCTGAGAAGGATGGTGTAGGGTCTGATGGTTCTTCGGTGTGAACAGAGAATAGGGAAATTTTTTTCCTTGGTGCTTCCGCCGGAGCAGCTGAAGCTGTTGCTGCGCCGTTTGCGTCTGGTTGAGTTGGTGGTGTTTGTGGTGTCGCATTTGGGATGGAATTTGATTTATTCTTCTTCTTCTTGGTGTTGATGCCTACTGATAATGGCCGGAACATGAGTGGTTTCCCGACCAGCTTCACCTCATCGGCTGGTTTCTGGCCTTCTGGTATACTCGGCGCGACATCTTGTTTCTTGGGCGGTGGTAGCTTCATCCCCTCCGACGGCGCAGACAATACATCGCTCGCCGTATCCGACATATCCTCGTCAGCATCGCGACTGAAGCCCGGTGCTGCGCTCGTCTTCAGGTTGATGCCCGGCCTTGGTGGCGCGCTGGCAGACGGTTTAGATATGGGCTTCCCTGCATTTTTGGGCGGTGGTAGGAGCGAGTTGAGTCCGGAAAATAGCCCTCCTCCTGTCGTCCGGGCGCGTTTCGTTGGTGGCTCGTCCGACTTGCTGGAGCTGGTGGTCTCTGGCAAACTGACCAAGATTTTGCCTGGATTGGAACGGTCGACCACTTTCTGGAAGGCCTTTTTCGACGTGCCCTGCGATGGCTTTGGCGCGGGCTTGGGAGGAGCTTCCGCCTCGGAGCCTGAATCGGATTCGGAGTAGTCGACGAGGCCCATGATGCGTGGAGAAATGTTTCACGGGCGACTTTTAGCCCAGATGTTTGATGGAGGAGAAGATGCGGCCCAAATGTCTGCATGTGGTTCAGCTGGAAGGATGCTGCTGCGGTGGGGCACATGTAGGTAATCAAGAGTGACTTGACTGCATGGGAACTTGATGTGACATCAATTCTGGGAGTGACGTCCTGAATCTCACCAGTTACAGTGGGCGTAGCTCCTCCATGCCCGCTGGTGGGGGCCAAGCACCCCCATGGTGGCCCCCATGTTCAGATGTTACTTCATTGCGGCTCGAGTGCTCTGCCATCCACGTATGCCGACTTCAATCCATCTCTTTCTTCTCACCACTTTGCCGCCTGCTATACGTATCAATCACAGCTTTCTGCCAGCGGGCCGGCAGGCATGTAGAAACGGGCTGCTGAGGCCGCATACGCTTGAACCTGCGCCACGCCACCATGTCTGTCATCCAGCTGGAAGAGTAAGTCTACCTCGCAGGACCCAACTTGCAATCAGGAATAGGGAATAGCTAACACTTGGCTGCTGCCAGGCTGGTGTCCTACCAACTACGGACGAGCTACCTCGACGAAATCGCAGACGGTGTGGGCGAGAGATTGCTCACCGTCAACGACAGCTTTCTAAACTCGGGCGCATTCAAGGCGGCGGGATGGCGTCCCAACTCGTCCCATATCAAGAGGACGTACTCTCCTCCAATTCCTACAGCCGTTGCGTCCGAATATTTCCAGGCGCCACGACGGCCAGGCCTCACTCTCGAGGATGGCGAGGAGGACGGCGGTATGCTTACGGGCGGAGGAGCAGACACCATGGGCCCCGGGATGGCTACTAAGAGGCGCAGGCGCCGGGAGCAGATGGAGGAGGATGACAGCAGCGATCTGACCGATGAGAGCGACGAAGAACAGGAGCAACGTGCTGCCCAGCAAATCAAATTCTCAAAGATGCCAGTGAGACAGCGAGCAGGGTCATCGCCGGTGCAGGTATCCCCTGTGAAGCCCCCGACGTCGCCCCGTGTGCCAAGACGAGGATCTCAGTCAGCTTTGGAGACGGTGCGAGAGAGGCCGCGTAGGGATACGGTCACCAGCAGCGAGATATCCTCCGAGAACGAGTTTGACGTGCCAGCGGCGCTGAGACACCGGGAGGCAGCCCGCGCCGCAGCAAGAGCTGTGCGATTACAAGAAAAGATCAACGAGGAACCCATGCCTCCGGGTCTTCAGAGGGCTGATACGCAGCTTCTACCCGAGGAGGAGGAAGATGATTCGGACGAGGGCTCCGACATGTCTGGCGACTACGTCGGGAGTATGGATTCTGCTTCGATTCTGGACGGCGTGGAGAATCCCATCAACCCTTCACCCACACAACAAGTCGTGGGAACACCGCCTCGAAACTTCCCGCGACACTCCATCATCCGCAAGTCGCAGCTACCATCAAAACCTGTTCTTCTAGAAGCTCTTCCCCCGCCCCGGCCCATGAGCATGATTCGACCCGCCAGCTTCGTCCAGCCCACGAGTCTGCTTTCAGCGGCACTGAAAGCCAAGGAGCATAAATCATCCGTCCCATTTCAAAAGTTTGCCCATTTCAGCGGTCAAGGGACGCAGGGGTCTATCGCTGTGCGAATTTATGCCCCGTTTTGCAAGACGGCAAGCAAGCCCCTCGAGGTACTCATCCGCCCCAGAGTCCACGACGGGCAGAGTGCCGAGCGAGTGGTTTCAGTTACAGACCTGATTGGCCTGAGTCTGTACCGGTATAATGAGGAGAAGAGGGAGCCGCAGATTCCACCCCGAAAGTACAGTGTCAACTGGTGGACCCTGAGAATGGTGGAAGACGGCGAGGTCGACGACGATTTCCCGCCTTTTGAGAGGACAAAGCCGTTGGCTTCATTTACCACTGTCAACAATGCGAGTGCAAGGGGCGGGGGAAGGATGCGGTCCAACTCCACAGCCTACGATGAATTTGCGCTGGTGCCCGCTTCAGAAGAGGAGTACGAAGAAAACAAACGCCTGACCCCCCAGCAAGACGATAACGAAGCCGAGCAGCAGGGGCAACAAGCAGCACCGCCCCTGAACCGTCCCATAAGCCACGATGGTGACAGTGATTCTACCCCTAAAAATACACCTGCGCCGCCGCGTAATCCCCTGACAGATGACAGCCGACCGCGACAGAACCCCATTGTGACGACAACCTATCGGCCAAACATGCCTCTGGCTGATTCTCCGCAAGTGCCCGTCACAATGCCAAATACGACCCGCGGCCAGCAGAAGCTGCTCCGCGTCCACATCATGTCTTCGGATGTGGCGCCAGGACAAATGGTTACGGTGGACGTCACAACAGATACATACCTCGCCGAAGTGCTCGACATTGTCTGCCGTAAGAGGCAGCTGGACAAGGCTAATCATGTGTTGAAACTCCCTCGGTCAGGAGCTGTGGTCATGATAGACCGGCCCGTGTCGTCGATTGGCAATGTATCCGATTTGGAGCTGTACAGGAGACGGTTCGCCACGGACGGCCCGCTGAGCATGACTGGCTCGCCAAGTAGTTCCTCTCCCAAGACAATGGGTCTCCCTAGCAGCCAGGGCATGTCCCAACGGAGGGAACACAAGAGGGACAAGATGCTCGGGCCGCATCCACTGGCGCAGGAGGCACTAAAGCAAGACGAGTTTGGCACCGCCAACTACAAGAAGTATACTGTTTGGCGAAAGCAGCCGATGCGTCTCGTGGGCATGAGTGAGCGGATTCTAGTGATTGACGGCGAATATATCCACATTGTCCCGGCATCTGGGGGCAAAGCGGTCCACGATGGCGGAGGGAAGACGACAACAGTTCACTTTAGCAACGTGGTGGGCTGCAAGGTGCCGCGAAAGCACCCAACAAACGTCAAGGTACGTGTGTGTGTGTGCTCTATCTCGGGCTCTATTTGAGACTTTTCCCCTCTTTTTTTCCTTCTTTGCTCTTGCGTTGCTATATTTTCCAGAAAAAGAATATTGTATGCGTTTGCAGAGGCGTGGACAAGTACTTGTATCAACGTCTTGGGGGAGTATAATGCTGACTCGGAGTGGACCCGTGCGGTCCCAAAATAGCTGGTGATTTACAGAGCCACAGAGAGCAAGCGATATGATTTCGAGGCTCGCGGAGCCGACGAGGCAGCTGAGATTGTGGCCGAGCTGAAGAAAGGTATTTCGCCGTATAGAGAAGTGTAGGGCAGGTGCCGGGCCACGCAACAATAGAGACGAGGTGGTACCCGTTACAGCATGACCATTAAGCCCGGGCCGTCGGCCATGTAACTAAGTGGCTGCGCAGCCAAGGGCTAGATCAGTCCAAGCAACCATTTTACAGCTTACGCATGCTAGGAGGTTAGGAGGCAACTCCGAACTCCGAAGGGGTTTGACTTTGGTGGCCGGACGCCAACGAGCATAGTCGGCGGCGGGTGGCTGTGTTGTGGGGAGTCGAAGACTGAGCCCAAAATGCGCGGCCCTTTGAGCACCCGAGGGCTTCGGTGTGGTGCATGCCGATCTACTAGACAATTGTGAAATCCTGCTTCAAAATGTACCTAGGAATGGGGTATTCCGAGAAGCTGGTCTGGCGTAGGATATTGGTATGGCGCCATTGAACAAGAATAAGACGCATGTGCGTCTTGGCAGCTGAAGGCCATGAAGTGCCGCTCGATTCGGCACTCCCAACTATCCTAGGTAGATGAACGAAAGAACACAGCATTGTAATACGTGTAGCAATGAATCCCTTGTATTGCAATTATGTCGATGATGCACGACGACGCGTGGTGCAGCACCTTGTTGTGGGCGGTCTGCAAGATGCACATGCCGCCGTCACCATCGAGCCTCGTGGCTCAAAAAGAGGCGGCACATGAGGCGGCTTGCCATCCGGGACGGGCTCGAGATGGGTCGCATGGCATTTTCTACCGCGTCTTCTACTCCGTACACGGAGAAGAGGTTGTCTGGACGGAGTACTCCGTACGTGCCCAGGACAACTGTACGTGGTCTGTGGTGCGTGGTTCGTGTGGCCGTTGGACGCCAAACGTTGGACGTTGCGTGTTACGTGACTGGTATTCCGTACTAGTAGCAATAATTTCATAATGGTGGCACCGCATTCAAGGACGTCGCACTTGTTCTGAGGATTTGCAGTCGCTGACCTTGTTTTTTTGCTCGCAGTCCATGATGCGTGTATGGAGTCGTCCTGCTGGCCCTGGGATCTCCCAAGCAACAGCGCTCCGTATTGATTTCGATCTCGATGCTGATGCTGAGACTGGTGCTGATGCTGTTCCTTGGTCTGACAAGCAACAACTCTTGCAGCAAGGATCCACCATGACGCAAGATTGAAGGAGTCTGGTCCACTTTGCGAACCATGCTGCAGAATCACGATAGTACGTAGTATTTTCAATTGTACACACGAACCTGGGAGTACGGAGCACATGATGTGGCGGCTGAGCGACCAGATGGTTCAGCTCCATGATGAGCCCATGGGTGACGCCACCTTGCTGGCTGGCTGTTTGTTTCAATGCTTGGGCTTAGGAACTAGGTACTGTACTCCGTAGCCTGGTTACATGTAGTTAGCACCGATTCCCAGTTGTGCTGAGATGGGGAACGCACAGCAAGGAACAGGGCTTCTAGGGTCTGCTGCTTGTCGAGCTCATGTTGTTGTAGGGGTGCCGTGGGCATACGATGTCAGAGTGATGAAATAATTGGGGCCGTTGTTGTCTCGCGTTGTTGGTCTGATGCTTGTTGGGCGATGCTGCATGCTTCGGTGAGCATATTGATGAATTGGCTTTTGCTCTGATGGCCATTCAGTCTGCGAGATGGATTCACCAGCCCGACTGCCGAGTAGGAAAGAGTTTAGGTAGCTGTTCTGCTGGCCCCCCTCCCTCTTCTGCAGGAGGCAGCCGGCGTTCTCCTGGCGATTCAGCGGATCGACAAAGTTAATCAACGACCAAACTGACCAGGGCCTGTTGGTCCCCGGAACGAAGGAACGAGGAACATGAAAAGGTTGGTGTGGGGTCACAAAGAGGCGTTGATGAGGCAAAAGCCACGCCGAGATTAGAAAGTGGGTCTGGATGACGATTGACTCCAAACCAAAAAGGAGTCCACCAAGGCAGTCCACCAGGCAAAAGCCCAACAGGCATCGCCGTGTCAACCGAAATGCCGAAATGAGGAGCATGGAGCAGATATATAAGTACTCAAGGGAGCCCAAGGCCCTCAGGTGACATTTCCTAGGCCAATCGTACAGCCTTGAATACTTGCAAATACACAACACTACCATCTTCATCGCAACTACAACACACCACAGTCACCAGCCTCCATCATGAAGATCTCCAGCACCGCTATCCTCGCCCTTGCTGCCGCCGTCCAGGTCCGTCCCCCCACGCCGTCTTCCATCCAATCTACAGCCCCTTTAAATTAAAATAAACACTAACATCTCGGTAGGCCGCGCCTGAGCCTCAGCCCGACATCTGGGGCGACATCACCAGCGGCGCAGGCGGCATCATCTCGGACGCGTCGACCTTTGTCGACGGCGTCAAGTCGCACGCCTCGACCTGGGCCGACGGAGCATCCACCTGGGCCGACGGAGCCAAGTCACAGGCGTCCACCTTTGTGGCGGGAGTCAACTCGGACGCCTCGTCCTGGGCCGACGGCGCCAAGTCGCACGCGTCCACCTTCCTCGCCGGCGTCTCCAGCGACGTCGCAAAGGCCACCAGCGAGGCCGGCGCCAAGGCCTCCAGCCTGAGCCAGTTCATTGCTACCGCCACGGGATCCGCCAAGTCCAGCGCCGAGAGCGAGCTGTCCAAGGTGACGAGCTCCCTGGCCGCTGCTACCGGCTCCTCCGCCTCCGCGTCCAGGACGACGTCGTCGAGCACCGCCGGCGGTGCCTACGGCCCTGCTCCCACCGCTGCCATGGCCGTCGGTGCCCTCATGGGCGGCGCTGCTCTCTTTGCCAACTTCTAAGTCTGGCGCCGACCAGGAGTCCCAAGAACAGTGGACATGAGCGACGGGGGGTGGGGGTTTGGTACGGAGCTGTGTAAAATCACGGGATGAAAGTATGAAACACGGAGGATCTGCAACGTGGGTGCATAAAAAATACCCCCATTAATAATGACCATGTAAATACGCCTTGATAATTTGGGAGTTGCTCAGCTTCGGATATGGATTTTGACGACTAGGTACAAGATAGATGAATAACAGCGTCATATCGCGTGAACCCTACTCTCTTCTCTTGTCTGGGTGCTTGTGGCGTGTTTTTAGCCTTTTGTACCATGTATACTCTGGATACGACAAACACGAGTTGACTTGGAGTGTATGCCAGTAAAACCAGTGTCTTGATTATAGTATAATACTTGCCGCATCAACAGGGTATCCCAACGCAATTCCATGTATATCCATTAAAGCAATTACGCCTTCGCTCGCATATCCGCCCACAACTTGTCGATAATCTGAAATACAGCCGTCACGTCCTTCATGACCTCGCTGTCTACATTGCCACGCAGCCTCTGCTGCACTTTATCCGGATGCCAACGAACACGCTCCTCTTTGAGCTTGGCTAGAAACGCCTGCTCTCCAGTGTCCTCCAGGCCCAGCCCGCGGATGAAGAACGACCGCACGCCTGTGTCGTCAATATCCTTGCGTTGCCTGCCATCAACAGGCCAAGCCAAGGCATCCAATGTACCGTCCCATGATGCCCATGCACTCGTATATTTCTCCCACTGCTCGACCCACCGTCTTTTTTGCCGTCGTTCTTCTCCACGGCGCAGGCTTCGCTCCATGTCTTCGTGCAGCTTGCGAGAAATGCGCTCTTCTTCCTTCTTCTGTTTGAACCTTTCTTCCCGTTTAGCTCTTTCCTCAAGCAGCCCGGCATGCGTCTTTTCCCACATCTTTTGTCGTACGTAGGCCGCATATTCCTCATCCGTCATTTGCTCTAGCTCACCAGTCGGGCCGCTTCTTTCATTGGAGTACATGTGGATAGGCTGGCCGTAGACAGATTCCCAATACGCAGCCCCTTCATCGTCAGCCATGGCATCAAACAGAGATTCTCGGAAGGCAGCCTCGGGGTCGAGTGGCGGAGGTTCGAAAGGATTTGGTGGTGTTGGCGAGCGGCGTCGATGTCGACGTCGGTGGTGGTGCCTGCTTGATCTTGAGGAGTGTGTGTCGTCTCCATCGTGATTCTGGTGTCTCTCATGTCTCTCATTGTTTCTGCGTCCGCTTCTGGATCGTCGACGGCGAGACTTGTCTGATTTGAGCCTCAGTCGTGACCGACGAGGCCTGGTGAGATCATCGCCTCCATCTTCATCCTGAGTATTTCGCGATGATTTTTCCGCTCTTGGAGACGACTCATGCGAGGCGTCTTTCCCATCGTGGTTCGAAGCCGCGCGCGCGGCCGAGCTTGCTAAGTCCTCGTTTATTGACGACAGAATGTGACGCCGCTTTCTCGACGGGATTGAATCTGCCATGGCGAGGAAGCCATAGTCACTGCAGCCGTAAGTGCCTTGACAGCCTCTTCCTGTTGTGACGTGATAACACACGGGCGTGGTTGCTCGCAGAGGCGTAAAAAGCTGCAATCCTCGATCGCAAAGACTCACGCTTGGTAGTTGACCGCCAAGACCGTTAAACGTGGGGCTTGGTCAGTGTGCAAATGGAAGGAGCGATCGAGACACGGGGCCACGGAGGGGCTGTCGGCCAAGCCTAGAAATGTGACCAGGGTGTCGCAACGACCACGAATCCAATAATTCTGCCATCCAGGTACAGAAACCTAATCCGCCTTTTCTCCCACGCCCAGGCATCTCAAATCTTTGTCTCCTCCGTCGAACGCTGGTCTCTGGCATCCATCTTCCTCACGCGAGTACTTCTACGATCGCCAACAATTGATTGTGTCACGATGCGCTGGTAAACACGTTTCAATTTCCACCTTGACAACCCGCAAGCACTACTGTCGACCGCGGCGTTTGCGACGCATGTACCAGCCAGCACCATGGCCGGCATACTGCTACTTCTCGGCCTTTGCGTAAGTGAAACCATCTCTCTGCAGCAAGTAGTTTGAATGAACAGCTAGCTTACCAAAAATTTGACTACAGGTGGTAATGGCCGTTGCGTAAGACTGCAAAGCGAAGTCCACCCCAGAAGCAAGACAAAAGCTAATGGCACTGCAGGTCATTCCTTGCTGGAGCGCTCCCACTCTCCATGACATTGTCACAATCACA